TTTTTCCCCTTAGCTTGCATATCCGCTTTTACAATTAAGGGAAATTACTTCGAATTTGGAAAGTTAAAGTAAACAGCTCGAGTCTGTCCAGGTAATTTAATCTCTATGCTCGAGTAATCTGCAGCAGGAGAGGGGGGTGGAGTTTAGATGCGGGACGCGCCGTTGCATGGCGTCCCGTTGAACTTTATTTTGTGCTTTACTGGTGTGGCGTGCGGCTGCGTTGCGCTGCCGCTCTACGCAGTGCGGTAGAACGCGTGGAGGTGGCAGTGCTTCTGCGTGTTGTTGTACGTGAAGGGGAAGGACGGGGAGCGGGCGGGGCAAAGGAGCACTTTTTGCGGAGGGCTTTGCGGATCCCTTGATATGGGGCAGAAAAAAGAAAACCGTGGGAATTCATACGGTTTCCCCTTACAGGAGGAAGCTGTGCGGATACATTTGGATGTAAGTGTAGGGAGCTCTATTAAAATTTAGTTTCCGGAGTCGTGCCATTTTAAGCAAATTCACTGACATGGATAACGAGGGGATTAGGAATGTTTACCACTTCATAACGGACTGACCAAATCGACAGGGACACCACCGACGAGATTCTCATTGAACTGGCAGAAGAGACATGCGCTTAAATTGGTGTGATTGATAGTTTTCGGCTAACATGGCGTTATCTGTTGAATCACCGACAAAAAAAAAGGAAGTCAGAGGCGTATCTGCTGCATGTTAGTTTTACTTTTCCTTCTACTGTTGCATCATTAATCTTCTGTACAGTCACCTTTATTTCCCTGCTTTCCTTCGTCTTCCTTCGATAATCCACATGTTCCTTTTCAAATGGTTAAATGGGGCACTGTACTGATGATTCCCGCCCCATTCCGTACCGATTCTGCCGTCTGTGTTTACAGCTCAAGGACGAAACACAGACACGATACCAACTCAATATAAGTACAGGCTTGCTTATCTGGGAGATCTAAATGGCACTTCCAGTTTTTCCTTAACTTTAAAAATTTCATTGTGTTCCTTCCCACGATGAGTCAATAGCACCAAACAAATTGTGTTTGTTAACACATATAAGAATTGAGGCCCCAGTCCTTTTCCAGTCTTCTAGCCAGAGATATTCATTGTTTGCATTTTTAAAATTTCTGGAGCACTTGGTAAGTTACAAGTGGTTTGGGGTCCACTTATATCATTCGACTTCGTTCACCGACTGAGTGCCCTACATCAATTAATCCGGTTACGCTACCATCAGCGATTCGTCAGTCGTAGTGTGATAAATTCTCTTTTGTTGTTGCTTTAGCCTAGCACCTTAACTGGTTCCTTCGCTCCAGCAGCAAATTTACACGCGAAACCAATGGTCAATGCTCCTCTTTTAACTCATGTTACATTACCTAGAGGTTGAAGAATTTGTCTTTATCTTCTGTATTTGGCGCTATTCAGTTCCATCTCTGCCTGATATTTTCCAAAAATGGGGACCACACTTTTTTCCTTTATCATTGTAGCATTAGTCATCTCGGCAATCCTTTCGTCATTGGCGAGTAATCTTCTAAACTGTTTTTCTACAAATGTTGCTCTGTGAGTAACCGAAAACTTTTTACTGGCATCCGCTGTCCCTAGTTGGCGCATCGCGGGAACTAGGCGAAATTGATTGCGCAAATGTGCGCAAAATGCATGTGTTAGTAACAGGCGAACATTTTTCTGAGTAAAATCCTTGTTTGCTGCAGTTTTCTTTGCTAACAAACTTATCTACCTTAGAAATTTTGTTTATTTAGTGTTGCAGTTTTCTGCTAGCTCTTTGCGTTTATTCCACCTGTTGTTCATGCCTAATCATGCCTATGTATGTGTCCTTCGTTGTAATGTGTAGTGCCTGTTCATCTGTTGTTACATGGTGAGCTTGTGAAAACCGCAGTACCAGTATATACTGATATATTACGTAACATTACATTATATAATATTATAGCATACTGTGAGTATTTGTCTCTCTGTGATAATGCACGTCTCTCTGTGAATGTCTGTCATTTTTAATTACCATTTGTTGGTCTTGTACACGTTGTGACCAAGGCTCGATTTGTAACATACAAACAAATATTTAAGATTAAGTGAAGATTTTGTTAGAAAATATAGAAATGGACCATAGAAAAGATCAAAAAAGAGTAAAAAAGAGGAAAGATGCAAAAAAAAAGAATAAATTAGTCATATACATTTCCATTAAGTCATATACATTTCTTACCGTTACCACGATCGGACCTCGTCAGTACGACGATTTTGTGAATCATTTGAAAGTTTGCTGCTTGGAGCTTGCAAACGCCGTACATAATCAAGCAGTGCCATATTCGCGAAGGAGCATAGCGTAATAACAAAGATCTGGAAAAAGAGGTTCAGTGTTTTTCAAAGGAAACTGTAGCAATTGCATAATTTTATGTGTAATGAAGCTCAACGGATCGCCGTTAGCTTTGCCAAAGAATGAAAGATAATGACAAATTGTTTTTACAAAGAACGGGATATCTTATCCGGATACTTTAATAAATTTTTACTGCAAAAGTGAGCAACAGAGCAGTTGATAACGATTTCGTGTTTATTTCTTAATTGCAGCAATGGTACTGTTGCCATTTTTTGCTGCTTTTTTTCGACCTTGATCTTTGCTCATCCAGAAAACTAACAATATTATCTTCTTCTCTTCGCCGTAGAAGCATCTGAGTCCTTTTTGTGCATTCTTGCTGTCTGTTTATATGTTTGTGTGTGTGTGTGTTTGTCGGTCCGAGTATTTCGACTCCGCAGCCAAGCAAGCTCCAACACCAAAATTTTGCCTATTTGCTCCCCGACTAAGCGCCATTTGAGAACCACGGCATCAGCCTCACGCACGCCCGGACTCCGGTTGCGGGCGCGTGGAAGTTTTGGTGGGAAAGTTGCTAACGCGGGAATGAGAAAAGCTAGAAGGCTGGAACTTTAGGGCAATGTTCAATATTTATGTACAACTAAAGGACTTCAAATTCAGCTTCTTAGAACCGCCCGGGACTCACGTGCAGGCGCATGAAAATTTTGGCGGAAAGATTGCTAACTCGGAAACGAGACAAGCTGGAAGGCTGGAATTTTAAGAGAATGTTCCTTACTCAGTGCGACTAAAAGATTTCAAATTCAATTCTTCTAGTGGGGTCTTTTCCGCGCGCCAGCAACTCTCTGTTTGTTGGCTTATTGAAACCGACATCTACAACTGACACATCACTGAGCTGCACAATGAACGTCCAGAACTTCGGGAGCCAGTATTTCACAGGTCTGGCTATTGTAATTCCTTGCGATCTTGCTACAGCACGAAATAGTGCAAAAACGCATGATCGTACCGGCCGCGTGGTGCACTCCAGTCTGGGTTGTAGTTAATTTCGTTAGGGTATTAGAGTGTCAAAATCGAGTAATTACATAATCATCATACAGCTTAATCAGCATGCTTTCAGCATGTAAATTAGGAATGCTGATTTCATGATCTCCACGAATGTACGATTTTACGATCTTCGTGAGATTTGCGTACTCATGCACTCTT